ATGGACAAGGCCAGGGGCAATGAGAGAGTGATAAGCCAGAGATTAACAGCCAGGAAGCAGCCTTTTCTGTGGGCTTATCTCAAGGAAGATGGCCATCTCAGGGCGTAAGGCACATGACTTACCCAAGCACCCAGGAATGCCATGCTGCCAGAAGAAAGATAAAAAGGGAACCTACAGGCGTGAGATTAGGTTTCTGACAACAGATTCCTCACGAAGAAGAAGAGGTTTCCTGACAACAAATTCCTCATGACCTGAAGGCTTAAGAACAAGAAGGTGTCTGCCATCAAAAGCCTCACAAGCCTGCATGCTGACGGACTCTCCTGGGCCTGCCACCCAAGTCCTGCTGCTTCCTCCTGGACTTACCTGCCACTTCTTCCTGCTGCCTGCTTGCTGCCCAAGGCCGCCACACTGCTGCTGCTCTCCTTCTGCTGCTTTTGCCTCAGACCTTCAAAACGTCATGCAACGGGACGCTGCTGGATCCTGGTGGTGACTATCCTCGCTTCATGCAATTCTTGCTTCTTTCCTATCTTTTCTATCACCCACCTGCCCTTCCTCATCATCCTAATTCGTAATAGTCATCGTCCTGCCCTTCTCCATATCCCTGATTAAGATCTGTAATAAACATTTGAACCGTTGCTTCTTAATGTCATGCCAGGTATACACATATCAAAGAACCTTCTCTCCTCCTATAAATTGGAGCAAGACAATGGCTAACATTCTGTTTGATTTAAAACTTTCTTAGACAACGTTTATGAGCAGAAAAAGATTGTTCTTTTGAGGAAGGCACAGTGGCTAATGTGTCACAGCAGTTGATTGAAAAATACCCATGGACAAGTCTTCTTATCACAATGCACAAGTCTAATAGCCTTGTTCTTCAGTTAAGCAGCATTAGACTAACCAATATTTTAATTCTGTAGCTGGATTTAGCAGTAAACCCATGGACAAAAGAACATTCAGCCAGAGGTTAAATGAAACCTAAGGAAAAAAACTACTTTCCCCACTAGGAAATTGAAGATGCTATTTAACAGCACTCTATTATTTCTGGAAATACAGCATCGATGGGCGCTTCATCAGATTGCTGTAGAACATTGTCATATTACTACAATTCTTGAAATAATTTCATTTTTCAAAGTATAACTTTTTGTGTTTACAGTTACCTCTGTCAGCATTTCAAAAATGGAAAGTACACCACGGCACAAAGCCAACTAGTATTCTGCCATCAAGTGAGGACATGCAGCCATCTCTGGACCATCTGAGTACCACAGCTTTTAAGGGCAGTGCTTTCAGAAACGAGATGCAGATTCAGATCCTGAACTTGAGAAAAATCTTACACAGAAAAGGTCTTAGCATTGTAGTATACTGTAGTATACTGTAGTACACTGTAGTATATAGTAAGGGGCAATACTGCCCCTTACTTTACTAGGGAGACATAAAAAAAAACCAAAAAAAAACACAGGTAAACTTGCCATTAATAGACAATGATGAAATTCCTGGCATAAGTAATTGTTTTTTTTGTAATTAAAAAAATTTAAAGAGCAGATTCAAAATCTTGGGAACTTTCATTTACTCTCCATAAAACTTACCTTTTTTCAGCTACTAAAACATGGGCTTCAGTATTTTCCAACTTAACACAGAAACAATGTCAGAAATACAACAAAGCAATCTCAGTTAAAGATGTATTTACATTTAGAACCACTTACAAAGTAGCACTACAAACAAATGTAAGCAGGATACTTTTCCCTTACAATTTTTTTGGGAATAAGGAAATAAATCAGAATCTACTGAAATAGAATCACAGAATGCCTTGGGTTGGAAGGGACATCAAAGACGAGACAGTCCCAACCCCTCTGAAGTAGGCAGGGCTGTCAACCACTAGTCTTAAGTTGCCCTGGGTCCAATCCACCATGACCTCGAACACTGCCAGGGACGGGGCATCCACAACCTCTCCAGGCAGCCTGTTATAGCACCTCAACATCCTCTCTGTGGAAGAACTTCCCCCTAATATCTAATCTAAACTCTCGCCTCCTTCAATTTAAAACCATTACCCCTTGTCCTATCACTATCTACCCATGTAAGAAGTTGATTTCCCTCCTGATCATAATCTTTCAAATTTTGGAAGGCTGCAATGAGGTCTCCCTGGAGCCTTCTCTTCTCCAGACTGAACAAGCCAAGGTTCCCCAGCGAATTTTCGTAAGAGAGGTGCTCCAGCCACCCTCTGATCACCCTTGTGGTCCTCCTCTGGACCCTCTCCAAAACCTCCACATCTTTCCAAAGTTCAGATCCCTAGAACTGGACACAGTATTCCACATGGGACCTCATGAGGGCCAAATAGAGGGACAATCACCTCCTTCACTCTACTGGACACAAGCAGTGATGATCAGGTTAGGATGAAGGTAAGGCCTCACTGAATCATGTCTTCCTTATAGGCTCCTCCTAAACACAAAAATGCACACCTCCATGGGACAAATTATTAAGAGCCCAGTCTCTTCCACATATTTTCCACTGTGAGGATAAGGACTGTGAGAAAAGTCATACAATTTCCATCACTAAGAATGGCTACACTAATAGATACAATCAGAGAACTTCTGAAGGACTTGACTGATGCTCCCAAGACTTGTTTATTCGCAGTCTACTCTCAATCTTCTTTATCTGACTCATCTTCCTGCATTCAGTTCCTTCATATCAGCTTCACTTATCATGAGACTATTTTCCTTCACCTGTTCCCCCTTAGTAACATGCTGTCTTCAATTTCTCTACTACACCTGACAGAATAAATCCTTCAGTAAAACCACGGGGTTTTCTACCACTTTACTCTGCTCTCCGCTTTTGCATAATATCCTTCTCCAACATTTAATCCATCCTGCCTTTAGGACAGTGCTATCTAATATTAGGAGTTGATGACTGTACCTGACACAAAAGTAAGAGGATGTAGCTTGTCAACTGGACACTCTCTTCCTCATATTTTGTTTGATTTGTTGGCCTCAATTCCAATTGCACTGTGCTGTATTGTATTATCTTGCATTCTGAGATCACATTTAGTACATTAATGTTTCTCCTCAGATTGTTGCCACTGCTCTGTTTTTGGACCCATCTTCTATCTCCCTTCCTTTCCCCTTCTCCCCTCTCCCAGGGTGCAGTCTCATTAGTCACAAGGCTGGCCCAGCTTGGCCTATAAACCGTAAATGTTTTTTTCTCTCTTTCCTTCTTTTCCAGGCCTGTGGGCCGCTGTCCTCTGTCACAGCCGCAGATGGAGATAACTCTGGGACAGGAAGCTCATGCACGTTTGCACAGATTGAAACACTTCTTTTCAAAGTAGATCAGTATGTCAGGAGGCACAAGACTGCTGACACCTCCAGTAATCGGCTAGTCAGATATGAACAGAATTTTGCCATGGATTCAAAGCTGAGGCTTAGTTACTAAAGCTAAGATGTCTTTTTAAAAAAAAAACATTTTAGGTTCACTATGTTACTACCTTCCTTTTTCATTTTTCCTTTGACAGAAAATGTCCACCTCTCTCTTGAGGCAACCTACAAGCAAAAGTTCTACCAGCTTAAATAGGACTTCTGCTCCTAACTTTTCCAGACACTTTGAAAAAACTATACGCATGACCAGTAGACTTCCAATGCAGATATGCTCAGAGGACAGGAACGCATGGCAGTAAACTCAAGCAAGAGATTCTGTAGTCCGCCCAATTTTATTCAGCTTCTCATCCCAATCCCTCACTGAACTACTATGGTTTAGTATCCATTAGTGTTACACTAAGAAGCACTCCATACTGCACAAGTTTGATGGCAAGAGGACTCCAAAGGACAGACAAAAAAAAGTCTGGTTTAACAAAACAGAGCACAGAAATACTACCATTCTATGACTAGTATGGTTTGCTGTCTGTTTTCCAACCTCAGCCCTCAAATCAGGAAGGGAGGGAAGCTGGGACAAATTAATGAGGTCAAAAAATTCTTCCTTCTTTCAGCATTTAAGACAGAATATGTAATTTCACTGCATCTTCTCAAGTAAAAAAAAATACCTAAAATCACACCTTGAACATTCCTCAAATACATGTGACTGTCCTTTCACTGAGTGGAGGACAGTGCAGGTCAAGACCAGCCTGTCTGGGGTACAGCACTCATTCAGAAGCTTTGAATCACCCTGTGCAATTCTCCTTTCTTTTCTCCCTTCTGTGTCTAGACAGGCACCTACTTGGGCTTTGCTGGAATTAGATGGCATGAATACATCTTCCTAACTTCATATCTTACTCCAATTCCTTCCTGCCTACAGTGAAATCAAACAGCTCTAACTGCCCTAGTTAGTCAGAAGGAATCCCTCTGCAAGGTCTCCAGACTGGTAACAAGTTAGAGAAGTTTCCTGTCATTTGACACAAAGTCGTGAAGGACTGCATTTTTGCACTGGAGAAATTAATAGCTCCAGTTTTTTTAAGATTTATTTCTTCCCACACAATGTCAGTAAATCTGCAGCTATCATGCCAGAGACGATGACTAGCACTGCACATTAAGCAAAAGGGTAGTGACATTTGATTTGCATTATTTCTGGCACGCACGCAAATCCTCACATTTTACAACATAATATCAATATACTTCATTTTATTTTGATTAAGAGTCACATCTTTCACTGATGACCTTTAAAGAATGCTTTCTTCCAGACACTTAAATGCACCACTGATATACTATACTTTGTCATCAAAACAACGATCATTCCTCAGATGCCTCTGAAAAGCTACAGAACCTTTCACAGAGCAGCTCATAAACTTCCCACTGATGTAAGCAATACAGAGAAGATGCAAATATAGAATTTGCATCAGCTCACTCACTGCATTCAGCAACGAGGGACACATTCTGCTAATCCACACCCTTACTGGAAGGTTGCCCTTCCTTAGAGGATATCGCCACAATGCAATTCAACAGACATTAAGTTTATTAGCTGGGTAGCAATCAAGTAAATTAGCAAATTATATATATGTCTATGTATATGTAAGTTATTCTTACCTTTGCTCCACAGGCAATGAAAACGACTTCTGTCGAAAGGCTGGTTCAGAATCAGAAGGCAAAACTTCAACTTTCCTGTAAGATAAATGTTGAGTCCAATTAGTAAGAATACGGATTTTTCCCCTCCTCTTCTTTTTGCTGCATTTTAGTCACAGAGAAACTCATTTTCTTGCTTCTTAAGTTTCATCTTTTTCAAGATAAAGAAGCTTCCAGAATGTCATTAGATACCCTTTACTTTGCAAGTTTTTACTGACAAACTTTTCATTTACAAGAGACTGTCATACACTGAAGGCTACACTTAACAGGAATGCCCATCAGTACAGCTCCGCCATTTAATCTCCTGCTTGTTGGTGTCACCTGGATACAGCATTAGCTGATATTAGTTTTGCCATGTCCTCTGCTAACGGAAGGATTTGGCTAGCTCTGAAGTTGTTTCTAATTTAGGTTCAATAATCCATTCCCCAGTGGAATGCAGAACTCTTAGGGATATCAGTGGCTTTTGTATGTACATTTTCCTATCATCTAGAAGCTCTAATCATCGTGGTACATCCACTGTGGCAGATGCTTGACAAATGCAGAACAAAAGGTCAAGACCAAGGAACTTAAAATCAAGGTTAGCAAAAGCAAAAGCAAACTTTAGCCCATGTTATCTAAGTGACATCACAGAGAAAAGTCTCACTGGTTTTCCTGGTGACCTGAACTCCATTAGTCTGAACCAGATCCAAAAGCATCTTGCCCTAGCAGTATGTCCACTGCGAAGAACCAAAATAAATCTACAAATAGAAAGTTAAAATACTGCACAATTTGGCTTTGAAGAGTAAATACACACTGTTATTACAGTTCCTTCTGCTGGGATTGTGTTATATAACTTCCTAATTATCATATAGGGGTACCAGTTTCTTCTGGAGCTTCATATCCTTAAACAATCAGATTAATGAAGTAATATTTGGTCATGTGAAGCTACGGCAACTGAAAAAAGAAAACCCTCATCACTATAAAGTCTTGCAGGCTTTTGAGCAGGAGGCAGAAAGGATAAAGGTATGGCAAGGGCTGGTAAAGGTAAGGTAAAGCTTAAGCCAGAACTTAGGGCAAATAAAGGTGCTGAAATTCTTGAATGTAAAGGAACACCTTTGGATGAGGGTGGGGAAGAGACAATACTTAAAGTCATAAATAGCAGCAAGAAGTGAGGACCAGGACACTGGAGTGTTACTATTTTGTACGTCGCTTTTAGGGTTCCCCCAGTGATGTCTTCTATTCCCCAGTTCCCTTACCTGCAAAACATAAGTAACAGTACTGTTCTCCAGTAGTGTAGAGATGCAGTACTGAAGACTTAGATGCCTGGGCTACATCAGGCCCAGCACTGCCAGCCAGGTGAGAGCAGGTACTGTCCCTCTTTGTTCAGTGCAGGTGCAGCCACACCTCGAACACTGTGTGCAGTTTTAGGTGCCAAAATATAAGGACATAAAACTATTACAGCATTCAAAGGAGGACTACAAAGATAGGGAATGGTCTAGAGGGCAACACGCATGAGGAGCGGCTGAGGTCACTGTTCAGCTCAAAGACGAGGAGTGAGGGGAGGCATGATGGCAGCCTACAGCTTCCTCACGAGGTGAGCAGAGGGGCAGGCACTGAACTTTCTGGTGACAACAGGATCTGAGAGAAGAGCATGGAACTGCACCAGAGGAAGGTTGGGATGTCAGGCATTCTCCGGCTCGCAGCCCCAAGCTGTCAGAGTTCAAGATGCATTTGGACAACGCTCTTAAATACAGGGTTTGAATTCTGGGCAGTTTTCTGTGTAGAGCCAGGAGTTGGACTCCATGGACCTCATTCGTCCTTTCCAGCTCAGTATGTGCTATGATAATTTTTACTTCCACACAAAAAATCTACATGTTTACCACACAAAACTTCTGTGTGTTCCTTTCAAATACCTTCTCCAAGTCCTACACTTGCCTCTCTGCCTACATGGTTCATCTTATATTTAATTAGGGGAATAAATTTACTTTGAAAAGGGTGAATGGGTCAGAGAACCAAGAAAACAAAGGAGAGCGAGAAAACCTTTTTCTCTGCTTAGTCTGAACAGTTTTGCCTCACTCTTGAACTTGAAGAGAAAGGTAGAAAATTATACATTTAAAGCAAGTGCCAATTTCCAGCTTATATTTCACAAAATAAGATCTCAGCAGCAGCTTAAGAAAGGCTGCCATCCCCTTCTATTACAGTTAATGATCTAGTGGCGCCCTTCTCAGAAAACAAAATCACAGGTTCTTACACTGATACAATCCAAATAAGACATGGGTGCTGTAAACTTGTTTCTGCTACTGAATCATGTATGGCATTTCTGTGTTTCATTTAAGCCCTTCAGCATACAGAAATGCAGAAGATTTTAGCTTTTATTGCACATTAGGAGGACTCTTGCTATATATTAAGATATGGTTTCAAAGTCAGAGTCCTGGTTGTAGGTGTTCACACTGGAACTTCAAAGGCTGATTTTCCAAGTTGATGCTTCCAAGAGTTCCCAGTGGGGCCTATAAAGGCAGCTGATTCTTACCTGTTCTGCTGCTGTAAAGAGCTAGATGTCCCCAGAACAAAACATTTATGAGGGCTTTTGTTTGTTTCTTTCTTTCTTTTTTACCAGTCATGGATTGCAAAAGGGTAGAAATATAAAATAATTTTTCTCCTGCTTTTAGAAAAAGGGAACATGCTTGTCGTTTCAAACTACTGCATTGATGCGTGATAAAATGCTACTGATGCTACCAAAATGAGACCAAATGCCAATATTTTAATGGTGCTCAGTGAGCTAATGCAAAGCTGCAAAAAGGACACAGCCCTTGGTAGATACAAAACAGTAATAAAATTGGACTGCAGTAATTTACAACCACTACCATAAAAGATATTAAGAAGCTGGAACTGCTGATGTCAAATATCATGTCAATGGATGGAATATGCAGCATACATCACTCTGAGAAAACCTGACAAGAGCTCACTTTGCCAGTGCTCCGAGCACTCTACTGCCTATTCCTCTGAAAGCAAATTTACTTTAAGATCACTTATCTTTAAAGCCCTTAACAAATTAGGAAGCACCTATCTCCAGAACTATGTACCTTTTTCAACAAACATAATTATCAGTCTGGCCCAACCACTGACAAAACCGTGCACAGTTCAGACTAATGGGAAAGAGAATTCTGCAAGCAAGAATTCAGCAGTAAAACGTAACTTGCCCCCAAACCTGGCTATCTACACTGAAGAAGCTTTTGTTGGCTTTTTCTTAGAGGTAGAACAAGTTGGTCCTTTGCACAGCTTCATCAATTTTTAGTGTAAATTTCTCTTTCATTATGTAATTCTCTTCAACTTTTGCAGATTGAGCAAATTCACCCACCTACAGCACAAGGAGAAAAGAGTAAATTCCTCTATACAGTGACTCCAGATTATTCTTGATATTTACATCAATGTGGAATTTCCAGTCTCATCCACCTCTTGTCCTAGCTGCTGCATTTATATCTTACAGTCTTGCATGCATAACAGACATAACAGGTGCACAGCTACATCAACAGCCAGTTATACACAAAAAAATATGGTTAAGAAAAACTGTTCATCTCAGCCATAGTCTTTTAGCAGTCTTGGAAAACTCCCAATCTTTGGATAAAGCTGGATCATTTTAATCCTGCTGCAACACAGAGAGCTGCTTCCTTACTTTTCAAGGTTGCAAATCAACCAATAATTCCTTTGTGCTTCTCTGCAACAGTCAGTGATCAAACTCATTCCTTCTGGAAACTGTTAGTTCCCTTCTTTTTTACTTCTATTCAGCTGCACTCTTTGACAAAGCTTTTCTCATTGTTGCTTAGAAAGGATTTTACTCAAAGGTGGTGTGAACCTCCCTGATAGCCTACTAGTGTCTTTAATTCAGTCACAAGAATTCTAGTAGGTTTTAGAGCACTCATTTACTCTTCTAAAAGCCTTGGTGGCTTCTTTCTGTCATACTATACTCATCAACCTATGCAATACATATATATAAAATATCATTATGCATTTTTATTGGCATCCCCTTGTCACATGCCAGTCTTCAAGCCATTTGTCTGCCACGATAATATTCAAAAGGTGTATATATTCTAAAATGCAACGTTTTGTCTGGTAGCCAGTAAGGCAATACATGTCTCTTCTTTGCTTCCCTTCAATTTTAGAATAATATCTCTAGAAGCCCCTCTGCACACTCAGAGCCTTCTGGCTACTGAATTTTCAGGAGAAAAAAAAAGCTTTAATTACTTCAAATGAAGAAGCCTTTAGGAAAAAACTCCGCTAGACACTTTATTCGTGAAATGATGTGAGCAGCCCCAGGGAACTTGTGCTAAGATACTGTCCTGCCTCAAGGTGCTAACAAAATATGACTTCCACACCCAGACTTCAGAAAGGACCTTCTGCTAAGCGATATTTTTTGTGCTTTACTGTTTGCCTGTAGGAGAGCCATTCCTCACACTTTCAGTGATCAGCCAAGAATCTTCTATGAAGAGAGGCAGATTTAGCAAAGAGGGAAGAAAACGAATTTTGCCACTAGAAAAGTATTTCATGAATTTAACATAGGTAAAAAGCTGAAAGACAGCATTTTCCGAAAATTCCTGCATTCGTTGAAATACAGCTAGATATTTATCAAGATCCTTGCAAAAGATGCTGCAGAGACTTGTGAATTTCTGATCACGTACATGAGAGACCAGATATAGAACAAACTTCTAAGCGAAACGCTCAAAACGACCCCTCAGAAAACTCCTTCCCTTATGGACAGCACAGAGACATTCTTATTGATGCTCTCACATTGGTTTACTTTCCACGATTTTTTAAAAAGAGTCATTTGTTTTCAAGTATCACCAATCAGGAAATTTCTACCCCACAAGTTCGTTTTTTTCTAAATAAACTTTCACTCCTATTCAAATGACAAAGCATATGGGACAGAACATGGACTTTTTTCACAGTTCCAAAATACCGACACTGATAAAAGACAGCCAAGCAAGAGTCTGAGACTGTTCTCCATATAGCAGTTGAAGTTTCTTATACTGTGAAAGAATTAACACTGAAATGGGGACTCTAAG